GTGTCGGGTACCAAATCTATCTTAAAGGTTGGAATGACAACAACATTTTTGTTTTGATCAGATTCTACAAATGAATTCTTGCGATTATATAATATTAAAGTTTCTCCCTCTTCATCCTCACATTCATCCTCATCCTCATCCTCATCCTCATCTTCATCTTCATATTCAATTTCATTCAAATCAGTATCCTCAACAACAATTCGAGGAGTATTTAAAGTATTTGTTATGTTATTATTATCATTACTTTGTATCTCTGATGATGGTGATGATGATAATTCAGTAGAAACGGTAGAAGCAGCAGTAGTAGCATGATTATTTTCATTTGTAATGGTTTCATGTTTAGCAAGTTTAGGTGAAGGTGAAGGTGAATGATGATTTTCCATATTATTACTATTACTATTAACGAAATTTTGTCTATTGTCTCCTGAAATAGAGTTTTTAAATATTAAACTATGAAAAATATGGAAAATAAAAAATGTATATATGTGTTTATACTCACGTTTATTAATATTAAAATTATTTGATGCATCAGGATGATAATATTCATCATGATGATCTGTCTCGATCGATTGATCTTTGTTTTGTAATATAGGTATCGGATTATTATGTTCTGATATATAAGAAGCAGTATCACTAGAAATCAATATTGTTGGTGACGTATTTTGACATTTTTGTGATGAAACTGAACTTGATGACAATGATGATGGTAATAGATTTGGTAATGTGTTGTTTCTTCGAAGTGACGAAAGTGAATTGTTATCTAACAATGTCTTATTATTATTATTATTATTATTATTATCATCATCATCATCATTATTGTTTTCATGATTAAATTCAGTTTCATTATAGTTTGTCCTTAATAATAAACTAGATGATCTTTTTAGTGGATTGGCTATTATTATTGCCGGTTTTTGATGATTTTGAATTGCATCAGAATGAAGAAAGTCACTTCGACTTTTAGATAAATCTGGTAAGTTTCTAATAATATTATTATTATTATCTGAAAGTGGTGCGTTATGATTTCGATTTGAAGATTTTTGCTCCAATTTTAATGATTTAAGATCTTTCAGAGGGCCATTGAAATTGACTGTGCTGCCTTTAAATCTTCCAATAACGCTTTCACAATATCCCTGAATTGACAATTAACATTAATAAAAAATTATGAATTTAACTGACCAATTAAATAATTATTCCAAAAATCTTACAAGAAAATAATCATCTTTAATATGTTTTAAAATTGTAACCGTTTCTCCTAATTATATTATGAAAAGTTTATTTAATAAAATTTTAATTTTTTAAAAAAAATGTTATTTATCATTTTATTATTGAATTTTATTATTATTCAATTACCAGTGAAAAACATTAAATCATCCTCGGTATCTGCCAACGTATCTTGATTAGCAATGCCTTTACCGATTCCGCCTTTAATTAAAAAATTATCAAAGTTATTAAATAATTTTAATCGATTAATTGTATTAAAATTATTAAATACCTCTTTTGGCGAATTCATGTAATTTTTCCAATTTTTTAGGATCTTGTGTTATTAAATGTTTTTCACTCATTTTGTATTTAATAAAGAGTGTTGATAGTTTAAAAGGTTTATGTTAAAATTGTCAACAGATGATTTAAATTTTAATAATTTGAAGAAAGTGTATACTTGTGAGTTCATTCAAGTTAAAAAATATTTTCTAAAATATCTTTTAGACAAAAAATTACTTTTGGTATCTCAAAAATTAATTCAGATATTAAAAGAATTTAAAACTTTTATCTATTTTACTTTGACGTGTACTTGTGAGCCCAATACGGTATTTTGTGTGAAAATGTATTTTTTATACTAACTACTAATAAAAATATCTTTTCCAAAAAAGGATATTTAGCATACATGATATTAGTATTAATATTAATGGCGTCAAAAAAAATAATTTTTCGAATTCGAATTCGAAATTAAAAATCGAAATTTGAGATTAAAACTAAATTCATTTTTTGCTTGCGGCTTATTCATGTATTTAAAGATAATAATCCTAGAACCGAAATCTTTTATTTGCCAGATTCAAAGAAGTCTGGAAAGACAATTAAATGCTGTATAGCATAGGAAACGAAACATTTCCTGGAAAATATGATGCAAATTGTAATGATAGAAGTTCAGTGAAAGCCCTCAATTGATGGAAAAACATCTAGCTAATAATTGTGTAAATGTACCTGTTGAAACAAATTTATCTGGAAATTGTACTTAATAGCATCTAGAACAAGGTTCATTAAGCATTGCTTAAAAGGTACTAAAAAAAAGTTACCTAATGATTTCTCGGGTTTTTTCTTTGCATTCTGAATTAGCATCTGCCACAATTACTAGATCTTTTTTTATTTTGTCCAATGCCTTCTTTATGTCCTTAATTGATATGTCTCATTATACTTGGTAACAACATTCTCACAAGTCCATTCTTCAGTAGGGACGACGAACTATATAGAAGAATTCCACAACAAATAGAACAGGCTACAAAAACTTCTGATAAATAAGTACATTTTTGAAAAAAAAACAATTTACTGATGGATCAATGATTAACGAACTGAGGATCTGTATCAAAATATTTTTTATTGTGAATGAAAAACATATTTATTATCAAACACGTCTGCTTATTGCACAAAAACATGAAAATTGTCTATTAAAGGCTCTTGTGACAGATAGATATTTAAATAGCTCTCACTACATAGTAATGGCCATTCACAAGTTTAGCTTAGAAATTGCTAACTTAATGATACAAGACAAATATCAATACATTTGTATTATATGTTTATTTGGTAATAGTAAAAAACAATGTTTAATATTTAATGAACAATGAGATGAATTTTATATTGTTATTAGTTTAAATAATTTTTATCTGTAATATTAAATTTTTGTATTTCTGAGATGTCTGAAATCTTTGATATCCTTTGATTATTTTATTTAACATTTGGTAATTTTGATATTTGGTCCTAAAAAATGAATTATCATTCTGAACATCTCTTTGAGAAAAAAGTTAATTTGACCATCTTGTATAAAAAAATTCACTTGTGAAAATGAGGGAATTGATGTTTTTATAATCGTCTTTACATTCATCAAAACAACAGGGTGACAAGTATTTATTAAACAGTTAATCAAGCTCAAACCTAAATTCAAGCGCGTACCTGCTTACACATGAATTCTATTTCAAATAGCAATTATTATCGTAATATTATGTTTATTAATATCAATAATCTATTAAATAAATTAGATCGTTTGGGACAACAGATCACCGTTCTTTAACTCCATGTGGCCGCTAGTTCCTAGGTGCAACATACGATTCAATGCTTGTTAGGTTTTATTGGAGCATGTCCCTCCATATATATAAAGTTTTGTATAAGTCACAAAATAAAAATTCAAAATTGATAGCAAAAATTGACCTTTTAACATTTCCCGAAGCATAGGTTCTAGTTCTTTAACAGCAATTTTGGAATTTCGCGAGCATCATATTGAACTTCATCTAATTGAATATGAGTGGTCTTGTGATTTTTTTTTGCCATATGATCGGTGACGTTACGGGCTATGTCCTTAATATTTAAAAATTTTTTTTTAATAAGAACTAACTATATATGTTATGTTTATAGCTCAAGTGTCGTAGAATAAGGATTTTTGCACTAGCATTTCAAAGCTAAACTTTATTTTTGGTTTTTTTTTAGGAATTTTCTGAGAAAGATCACTATTTCCCAATTTCCCTTAATTCGTGGTCCGCCAATCAACTTTAATTAATTTCCGGGAAATTTACAAAGTTTCACAATTACAATTGTATAAATAGTGCACAAGTAAAACCTTTTATAGACTTTGACAAACATTCACGGATACCTAAAATAATACATAAAGTAAAAAAAAAATAAATGAATACTTTATCTTCATTTATTATTATAGTAATTTCTGGGGACCATGAATCAATCTCTTTAATAGGGAGGGGGTTACGTTTCAATATTGATGAATCTCACGAAAAAACAAATAGCTTTTTTAGAAAAAATGGTAGCTGTATGAGAAATTCCGTCGGCAAAATTGACGCACTAACCAAATTATACGCAAAATCTGCATATAAATTCCAAATTGGTTAGTGCTCAATTTTGCCGAAAAATTTTGGGCCTTTTTTATTATAAAAAGCAATCCAACAGCGGCAGCAATCTATCTATATAGTTTTCGCGGGTCCTGGGTTAATATGTTTAACAGTACTCCAGCCAGGCTTGATAGTGTAATTTGTCCATTAGACCCTGAAAAATTTACGATTATTTTACAATTTATTAATTGAAGTTGTAAATATTGCATCTTTTTAATAACAATTATTTTTTATTATCATTTATATCTTTATCACACTATTTTTCTCTCTATCTATCTGCTTATTGTTGATCTCGTAATGGGTTTATGCGTTCGTGCGATATAAATTTGGCGTGTGACACAAATTTCAAACTCAATATCATCAACATTCATTATTCGATTTAGTGATGATAAAAAATATTATTATTATTATTATTATTATTATTTCGTTATTTTGGTAAAGTAAAAGGAATTAGTTTGTTAATTAATTTTATTCTATTAATTATAATCTAAATTTTTTATAATTCTGAAATTCCTGAAAAAAAAGAAAAAAAGAGAAAGGAAAGGTAAGTATTTAAATATGACGATAATGATAATAATCAGTTTTTGATAATTTGTGTTTTTTATAATTAATTCAATAATTCAATAATTCAATCAATCAATCAATCAATCAATCAATCATCAATCAATCAATTAATCAACCGACTAGTCGATAGATTAATAAATTAATATATATAAGAGTAAATAAATCATGTCATCAACATCTTCATCAACATTTTCATCATCGACACCGTCACCAACATCTCCATCGCACACCCCACAAACGCCACCATTAACAACAAAAACATCAAATAAAGGTAAAAATAAGATTAATTATGTTAGTGTTATTCCTCCTGGTAATTGGCAAGGAGATTTGATGGTAAAATTGTTGGTTAGAGACAGAAGAGAAAAATCATTCACTGAATTTGTAGAGTCTTGTAAGTTGTATGAATAATTACACTATAATATAATGAATAAATAGTTAGCATTAATAATTATAATTACAATTTACTTACCAAGTTTATTTCTGATATAGACAATTCGCTTGTAAAAAAACTTGGAAAATTTGCAGATAGAAATGCAGAATTAGAAATATCACAAAGCTCAGCAATTGAACATCATGTTATACTATCTCAAGAGCTTGAGAAATTGAAACGATTTGGGTAATAGAAGAAAACATTATTTAGTAGTACATTATGACTAGACAGAAAATAAATAAATAAATAAGTTAATTACGTAATAATAATAATAATAATAATAATAACGATAATGATAATAATAGTAATAATAATAGTAGTAATAGTAATAATAATACAATGCCGCCATCATCATTCTCTCCATCCCATCAACAACAAACTTTACCTTTCTCACCTCAACCTCAACCACCCCAACCTATATCATTCTCACCTCAACCGCAACGACCACCTCAACTACAACAGCCATTCCAACCACAACAATATTCATCATTTTCATCTCAACCGCAACAACCACCTCAACTACAACAGTCACTCCAACCACAACAACATTCATCATTCTCACCTCAACCGCAACAACCACTTGAACTACAACAGCCACCCCAACCACAACAACCTTTATCATACTTATCCCAACAGCAACCATATCAACTTTTATACAACAATAATAATAGTAATTATTATGGCGGAAATCCCAATTCAAATCATAATCCTGTTAATTCAAACATTAATAACATTCCTTTGTTAAATTCCAATAATGGCATCAAATATAACAATAATTCTTTAATTCTTTCTATTTCTCATCGTATGTCACTTATTAAGGATTATATGCTAATAATAAACCAGCATTGTTCTGAAATGGAAAAAATCATTGACTATTTAAAAAATCAAAATCAGTAAAAAATTTTATTTTTATTTTCTTTATTATTTATTATTATTATGTACTTTATATATTTTTACATAATATCGAGTTTGAGAAGTGGTATTAATAAATGCACAGTATATATACTGTAGATTCAAATATTGAAGCTCCTCCCAATTAACAATATGATAATAAGATCATTAAAATTTCAATCCAGGCTCAGTGTTGTGACCAGAAACTCTTTTGGCTTCCCGAAACGTTTCGGAAAATGAACTTACACTAAACAGAAAACTAAAACTAAACCTAAACCTAAGCATAAACTACTACCTAGACTAGTTTCAGGTGGTTTCTGTTTCGGGTCATAACACTGTCCAGGCTCATTAGTCACAAAGTTATGTATCGAATGTATGGATTGATTAGAGAGTTTTATCTGGAAAGAGTAATTAATACCAGAAAGAATTACATTTGAATCGATCATGTTTATTTATAATGAATTTTGTCAGTACATTTAAACTTATTCATTCTAAAATCAATAATAAATAATGTTTTTATTTGGTTTTGACAAAAATTTTTCCTTAAAATATTGGTTTTATTCAATAAGGTGATTGGGCAACAATGTTTT